TAGTCATCCCTACCTTATTCCTGAAATATTTTTTGGTCATTGCCATCTCTATATAATACTTAATTTTTGCAATTTTTAGCCGCGGCATAGCGGCTCATAGAATGGCTCCAAGTCTGTTTGTTTCTTCAAGTACAAACTTTCAGTATATAGCTCCGTCATCTTTTGACCGATTTCAGATCCAATTACAGTTTTCGACTCAGGAGGTCAAACCCTTTCGATTGATTATACAGGCCTGCGAATTTAAACTTCATAAAAGTTGTTTTTTCCATAATTTAGCTACGCAGATTTCGAAAATAATATTATTTTTCTTTCTATCACGTAAGATTTTTTTACAAATCGGGAAGAAGAAAAAAATCTTACTTAGATCAAATTATTATTTCGTTTACTACAATGAACATTTTTTATTATTATGTTTGTTATGTTTGGGTTGTAGAACGATCGATAAGACTCTCACGTCGCGATTGGTCTAGAAAAACCTATAGCCAGTGGTTGTCAACATTTTAAGTATAACAAAATGTGACCCGATTTCAATGAAAATGATCCACTTATGCGAAAAATATGTACATGATGGAGAAAAATGGATATCACTTTCGGAATCAGCGTACAAGGATTACTGTAAAACATGTAACAATTTCAAGACAATAAAACCATCTCAGGCCTATGTTATTTGACCATTGACCATGCCCAAGGTCTCATAGATTAATTTACTCTAATCCTGCCTAAAACAAATTCAATTTGAGGGTAGGCTGGTGGAGATCTTGATGAGTAATAAAATCAAATCGGGTATACGCGCGCCGCATGCTTGGTATTGCTCGCGCACAAAAATATAGCTAATAAAAAGGAAAAAGAGGTCTCATAGATTAATTTACTCTAATCCTGCCTAATAGAATTTCATTTGCCGCGGCTATTGATGATTCCCTCTTGTTTTTATTACTTGTTTCCCCCTCTTTAAAAAAATCATTGAAATAGGTTGATAAGTAAACATTTATTTTATTTTTATAATTCAATGGTAACATGTTTTGTTAAAATCATATCACGATTGCCAGTTTCTCTAATGTTGGATTACATTGGGGGTCGGTGAACCTGGAAAGGTTCCTCCAGGACGATACATATACCCAGAATGCTGGACCAACGTTAAGGGAACATTTACAGAACCCACACCTTCGAACTTCATCTCAAATCACTGCATGTGCATACAATTGACACCACCACATGTTAGGGTAATGTCGATTAACAAGAAGGAGATCATATAGATTCCAGGCCATGAAGTATGATACCATGCATACTCACACAGATGGCAGGCTCGGCCCCACTGAAAATTTGAAGAAAAGTAGACTGCTATATAATGTATTATTCTGATACTTAAGAAACTGGTGTTTTTAAACTCAGACTTCAATAACATGTACATAGATCTGTCATTTGCAGAAGTAATTGATCTACTTGATACCGTGAATAGTAACTTAGATTTTTCTGTTTTCCTTATTTATTTTTATTGAAATTGTTCGGACAGATATCAGGTTTGTGCAAATAAAAGTCACAAACGGTCGTTATATAAGAACAATTTGTGCTTCCATGTAGCTACGAGAAATGAAACTGTTATTTATGAAACATGGAAATAATATATGCTGAAAAACTGAACTAACTCTAAGCAGTATTTTCCTTTTTTTATTATTATTTCCCCACAAAAATGGGTGTGGTAGAAGAAAAGTGTTATATTAGTGTTATACAAGCTGTGAAACACTCGATATTAGCAATTAGGTGCTCACATAAGGCCATAACTCAACTTCATCAGTTCTTTATAAGCATCATAGAGTAATAGATTGAATACGGCGACCATTAATTTCTCAACTCATCCCTACATAATAAACATTACCGTGTTTAGTGATAGCCTGTTCCCAAATACTCTTAAAATGATTTTTTGTCGTATTAAAGCCATTGCGAAAACTTCACTCATTTTTTTGGCTAACATGGGAAAAGAAAAAAGAAATATGAACACTTGGCTCTTTAGCTAGTTCACAGTTCTCCACTTTAGCAACACTTTCCAATAATATTAGGAGTCTCACAAACTGTGAAAAACTCAATAATGGCAATTAGGTGCTCAAATATGGTTATAACTCAACTTTAGCAGTTATTTGTAACCATTATAAAGTAATAAATTGAATGCGGCAGCCATGTTTTTCTAATAGAAATGTTCAGTTCATTATATACTCTTCTTACTTTTAACCTGTTTTGAACCACTTAAGAAAGACGTTTTTGAGTTTTGAGTTAGTTTCAAGAACGAAACTACACATTGTTATACTGCGCTGTACTCACGGCTTGTATCGAACCACAAATGTTAGCATTATAAGCTCTGAAACTAACCGCTGAACCACAGAGGTGCAACGTGGTTGAAAAAAATCATGCTTCGCCAGCCTAGACATTTTATGAAAGACTGATATAAATAGTGTTTCAAATCAATTTTACACTTACCTAGTTTTATGAACTTCATCATTGAGCGGAAAATGACGCTGGCAGTGACGTGCAAAAAGTATAATTTAAGTGTGAAAATTCATACTGAGCTGGAAACAATGGTATGAGTAAAATTAATACCGGTTTTCAAACTTTTCTACTGTCCTGGCATCCTGAAAGGACTTAGATGAAATTCTTAATGTACATTATTTTTGCCAAATTCAAAAATTATCCCCTCCCCCAAAGTAACTCAACGTTAAGCTTATAGGCTTATAACCAAAATTCAGAGTTGGATCTCAGCAGTGGGAAGAGACCTTACGCTTAACAACAAACATGTATACATATTAAACGTTATTTTCTGATGAAACCTATTGCCGATTAAAAGCACCCGAAACCAACTGTTAAAAATAATGCCCTCAGTGGCGAACTTATCAACGCTAGATACCGGGTTTCAAATCCCGTGATGGGCAGAGCACAGATAGCCCCTTGTGAAGCTGTGTGCTTTACTACATACAAACAAATAATAGTAGTAGTATATATACACCTGGAAAAAAGTTAAGCACCCCCGTGTTTTTTTCAAGTGATTCAGATTCGACATTCTTGTGACTGATTATAAATTACCATTCAATCTAAACGTGT